TCAATGTACCCTTTCCTTTTTAATTTCAACAATATATTGACAATTGGTATATTAGCCTTTTTTTCCCCATTTTGCTGTATCATTGACTTTTAAACATTCAGCACAAAGACACATGCTGACATTTTGTCTTAGAAACGGCAGGTTTTAAGAAAAGTCTATTATTCAATCAATAATGGCAAACTGTGCACATCCTGTTTCACTAAACTAGACCCAAACTATGCTATTATCATTTGTCATAAATAAAWAGATTCATCTGCTGGCATGCAATCAAAACAAAGCAATAATTTGAACTGCAAAGATCTATTTAAAGTTCATTTTCCCACAAAACAACCCATGCAATGTTTACGACAAAGTTTAAATTGAAATAATATACTCAGAATTCTTTAAAGATGTTTTTCCATCCCATGATGATCAACAACTCTTTATCTGAAGCCCTCAGGAACTTCCTTTGTTTCTACCATGATAAATATATTTAGATGTGACCCTGAGAGAGCTCATCTTTCCCAAATGAAACAGGACATGCATTGTATAACATTTACTTCAGACACCTCCTTTGATTTATTTAAACCTTAATTTCATGAACATAGTTTACCATTTTGTCTCATTTAGTTTAATTTTATGTGACTTTTTAGAACATGTAACAAATACATTTTGTGATTATGCTTTTTGCCATCTTTATGAAGTAAAATGTACACAGACTTATAATTAATCTGCTTTTTATTGTGCTTTAATTGTTTTTATATGTGCGATCTGTTTTATTGTTTTTAGTTATTTTGCTCTCTGTTAAGCACTTTGTGATGTTTGTGTCTGTGAAAGTTGCTATATAAATAATACTTATGTATAAGCTTTAAAGCACAATTGTATTTTAGTTAAAAAATAAAGTTAATTAAAAAAGACAATAGTGTTATAATATATTTGCTTATATATGCATTTCAGAAACATCATTTGGTAGCTCCTGGATTTGTTAAATTGTTATTAAAAGAAACACTGTGGACAAAACAAATTTAACAAACATTTAATGAATTTTCTGGGGGAAATGGCCCCAAAGGCACCATGCGTCTTGTATTGTTAGATACATTTGTTGATTACATAGTCCAACCTCTATTTTTAAGTATAAAATTGCAATGCACAATGGTAACAGAGACAACGAGTAAACCACCTTAAACCAAAAAGAAAAWAAAAGCAATAAAAACAAAAATCCCACACCATTCAGAATATGATACATTAGATATCTCATTAATAATTATCAATACCAGCACAATCACACAATATTTTCAGTGTAGCATAAGGCAAACACTGAAAGTCAAAACACAACAGAGTCAAAACGATAATCTTGATAATAGCAAAAGATGTCTACGATAAACCGAGAGACCTGCAAGAGGAGGAGTGTTATGTGTCTAGCTTGTGAAGTTTGACATTCAAAGCCAGGGGCAATTATCATGCCACTGATATGTCTTAGATTTGCACTTTCATGGCAAAGTTGTCCAGTGAACCTTACAGAGTAGTTACTCGTCCAGCAGGACTCGAGGGGTTGCCAGTTAATCCTGCATCTAATCCAAGACCTGCTACAGTTCTATCATCCCCCTTAATGGATAATTATCAACACATCTGGAGAATTCCTGCCTTTTCTCTTCCAACCCTATAAATAACAATCAACAGTCATAATCCACAGAGACAATAGCTATCTTTTAAAATAATTATCTAGACCGATTTTAAACCTATTTTGCCTGTAAAAAAATGTCTTAAATATAAAACTGAACTTTTTGCAACAAATGTAGCTTCTCCATGCGTTACTTGGAGAAGAGTGAAGCAAATAAACCAACTTCACAGCATATAATCTCTTTTTTAAACAAAAGAAACAGTGATTAACTTCTCCCCCTTTAACCATGGTCTCTGTGCCGAGTTCTCCATTACTATGAACAAAAGTTCCCCCACCCGCCCCAAAAATACTCCTATGTAACACATATTCCTTTAGTATCCACTGACTCACAGTACAGAATAAACACTTTTTTTAAAATTGAGTTACGCTACATACCTCAAGTCAGAAAATAAGCACTGCTGTTGTTGCAAACCCCTGTCGTAGTTCAACATAAGTGCATCCGAGCACACGTCTTCAAACTGAGGGAAATAACAGGGGGTCTCGTACGAAAGGCTAGCAACTTTAAAAMCCATCCTTAGTGTCAATGGTCAGTAACAGATAGATGCTGGTAAGACCTGATTTGTACTTGTGTAGTAAAATATAAAAAAAAGCAGAACCTTAAAACACAACAAGACAAGGAAATCCCCCCAAAACATTTCARTTGTTAAGCTTGGGATGAGTTATTTAAAATGTATTATTTTTTATTTTTTTAAATGTTATTTTGAAAAACAGGCTTCATGGAAATTAGTTATCCCATTTCCTCAAAATCTGCCCCCACAGATGCTGAACTGATTTTTTTCTTCTATTATGTCTGTAACAAAATACGTGTAAGAATAGTTTATGTTCATTTAAAAACAAGAGGTAGTAAAAAAAAAAAGAAAAGGCAATTCAAAGTGGCAGGCAATGATGTAACCTTTGGTAAAAAACAAGGCACTTGCTGTCCTCGCAAACTTAAAAAAAACTTGCCTCTGGTTTTCCTCTTTCCGTGGTCCAATTGTATCCACTTTTGCAGTCCAATGTACACTTCTGTTGCTTGTTGTTCACTTGGTTACCGCTGAGAGTCCTTTCCAACCTAACCACATTCTCGTTCCATCAATAAAACCTTTCAAACTTCATCAATCATAAATGACCCACTTCATATTTTTTTTTAAACACATGAAAAAAAAATGGCTGGTTGTCCACAGTTCTTCAAATTTTCTTGGCGTATTGGCACGTTTACACTTTTGTTTTTCCTTGCATTCTTTCTTTAAAGCATAAAATGTGTCCATGTTAATTCAGTCTACCGTTGTTAAAGTTCTTTTTTTWAATTTATTTATTTGTCGTAGCTTCTCCTGGATGGCTGAGGTGGTCGAAGAGACATTGCATCAGGCTTTTCCAGAAGTCGTTATTCTTTAACAAGTCTGTAGACGTGATACTGAGCTCCATGTTCACTGTTAGAAACCTCAAAAACAAAAGCTATACAGAGAAGGGTCTCCTGGGTGTCGCGGTTTGTCACCACCTGAGGGGAAAGGAGAGGAGATGCTGTTAAAGCAAAATGATGCTACGCTCACATACTGTTTTTTTTTTTGGCTAGATTTAGTGTAAATACAAAAATTATCAAAAGTAGTGTGGCCTTTATAGTCCTCCTTTCCATTCTTTTTTTTTTGTGTATTTTAAAATGGATCAAGGCCAAAACAACACACTTAAAATTCAGTAAAAAGAACTGCTTTTTAAGATCACATTGAATTCACTTTCCAAAYCCTCATTTAAACATTGAGTATATGTTACCTGTAAGATTGTGAAGTTTTCAAGAACACTGTTCATCATGTATTTCTCAGGCAAGTGTTTAAGTTTGTGGATAAAGTTGATCATGTACTCGCACATAGGGGAGCGGTGGATCCTGTAAACGTACTTYCCTCCCTCCATGCGGGCATATTCTGTCTGCAACGTATATGGGAGCGTCAAAAATAGCCGGACAAGAGTTCTTACTTAAAAGAGYAAGAATTGTCTTAAACGTTCTTACCTCGACTTTTTCAACAACCTGCTTGCCGAATGAGCAGACTTTGGTTGAAACGGTGATCGTCATGTTCTCGATGCTGCTGTACTGGCTGCTGACGCCATAAAAGGAGCCTGGGCCGTCCAGCATCCCGCTGCTGTTCAGGTCGGCCTGCAGAATGCAAACATATGGTCATAACAATCAAAACACATTCTGAAAAGTAATGTAAAAAAAATACTCATTAACCCATTTAATACCAGATTTTTCCCAAACGTGAAAATATCCAAATCATATGTCATTGGTAGCTTTTTGAACCAATCAAGTATAACTATTTTTATAATTATTTTTTTAAATAAATTAAATTATGTATGAAAAAGTATGTTGATCGGTCTCRATTTTATGATCGGTCACAATTGTGACCGGTGGGTTTGTGTGTTTGAATAAAATTTGCCTCAGCTTTACTTTAGTGCAACATTTGTTACTGTACTTTGCACAATAATAATTGTGATTTTGACATTCTAACATTTTAGTGCAACCAGAAAACACGCATAACACTTGTGTGATCCATTCAAGTTGAACATAAAATATTTGGGTGCAATGCCCCTTGTGTAAAGTACAGATACAAGTAGTACCACATTCTAGGCAATGGTAAATTTAATTATAGTGTAACATATAAGTATAAAGAGCTCAGATCTTGAACAAAGTGCTCAGCTGTTTATGCATAACTATAGTGAACTGTCATACAATTCCCACAATGGACGCAGTCTGTTGTACTGCTCCTTTTCACCATTTGGTGACTTCAGAAAAAGGGGCGTAAATCACCAGCTTTATCACAAGACGATAAGAAATTAATTTGTTTGGATAGAAGATGAGCATGAAAGCATGAAAATTAAAACCATTAAGTTACTAATTTGTACAATAATAAAAAAAATAAATAATAATAATAATAATAAAGACCCACCCAGAATTTAACAAGAAAAAAAGCGTTCTGGGGGCCTTTCTCGTAAAGCTCTTTGAGCCCGCCCTTTTTTTCAGGGAACTTGTCGTAGATTTGCCGGATGTCCACAGCCTCCAGGAGAGGATCACTGTAGGAGGGGTTGGTCTGTCCAATGTGGACAAACAGATGTTTGCTGTACTGCAGAGCACAGAGAGAAGACATTGACAAATGTCAGTTTGGGACCTCCATAGGAACACAGGAAATTWGTGTTTTRGAGACACAAAATCTAAACTAGTCAGTACAAACATTTCAGTGCCGAAAGATTATATCCCATAATAATGTTCTCTGTAATATGTAAGAATAGAAATGGGGTATTATATATTAATACATAAGATCAGTTGTAAAAATAGATTAAATTTGTACAGTTACTGATAAACCTTGCCATATTCAGTAGTCAAAATCTCCGAGCTTTATCTCAGGCTTACATTGTCCGGGTCTCTCTGGACCTCCATAAAAGCCGAGTACTCCAGCATCCGAAGCTTGGAGGACGCGATTGTCCGATCCTGCCACACTGGAACCGCTGTAGCTGCTGGTGCAGGAGGCGTCGCCAAGGGCTCATAGGCTGCACAAATACACACAATCATTCCTCAGAGAGTGACATTTCATTATTTCTGAAGCACATACATTATTTTTTTAATTTTCCACTTACCTGACATGGGTTGTTGAACAGGACCTTGTAGGTTTGGGTATGGGGGTTGTACAAATGGTTTGATGCTGAAAGACAGAAAAACCACCCAGTCAAGCAAAGATCTTGTTTATCAGCTGTTTGCAGCTAATGGGTTCCATTTCTTATCTCTTATATAAATCTTTAATGTGTGAATTTGTTAGTTTAAAACAGTGAGCATGTGTTGCTGCACCAGGTAGGCGTAAGTTCACCTGCTCCAATGCTTACTGACAAATTACTGGAAACTGGCAAAACGATCTGCCAATATATATATTTTTTTCAGGTAATCAACCCTGTGATGTGCTGTTTTCATTTTTTTTATGTTCTCAGTAATATCTAAAGCAGTTGTTGGTGGTTTAAATCAGTGCAGGAAACATGCAGCACAGCAGAATGTAGAAGAGTTAGAGCTGCTTTGTGCTCAGAGTCGGGCCTTGGCTAGCGGGGAACTTACGCATGGCTGGTGCAGCCGGGCCCAGGAGTCCTTCCCGGGTTGAGATCTAGAACCATCCTGGTGCTGAAAAATGTGATTCATTAAACATACCCTAAAATACCCACCTGGCAAAAAACGATCCACTTATTTGCACATTTATTTATCGCTAATGTTAAGTTTTCTTTTCAGAATTTGCACACACCTTGTTCTTACACTATAAAACTCTCTCGGTTGATATATAGGGGCTTACTTACTCCTGAGATGGTCCAGCCTGTACTGGGATTGGAGCCGGCCAGAACTACAAAGTAAGATAACAGATTAATTCTTCTTGTGGCTTTATAAATCTAAAACATAAAAATAAAAAATCTGTTTATTTCTCATAAAATTACTCACTCTGGCTGGTGGGTACGGGGCAGGAGACAGTGTCTGAATATGATTCTTTATCATACTCGGGGAGACGATCTGTGCCGAGGACAGTGTCGCCATGTTCTGCAGGGCTTTGTCTTTAGATGCCTGATCCTACAGGTTGACAGAAAACATAAAGAAACACGAGTCAGTCACAAGGTGGCGCCATAACCTAAACGTGACATACACAAGAAGTGGTCCAGTCTGGGAAATGTTTGAAGATAGGCTTTTTCAAAAGTCAGATTAATGTAAAGCAACATCACCAGGTTCTAAATATGATTGAAAGAGAAGCTTTTAGACCGAAGCAAAGAGAAGAACGGAAAAATGAAGCAGCACAGATCTGGTTACATTGCGGGTCAGTATGTTATCAGGATCACCACCAGAAGCAAAGAGAAGTGATTCAAGCAGCATGATCTAAGAATAAATATTAAAAAGATTTTTAAAAAATGTTTTTAGCACGTAAGCATAGATTTGATTGCTTACAATATGTCTAAAGCCAACAAATTCAAAACCAAACCTCATGGAGGAGTCATTCAAACCACATTATTTTTCTTTTTTTTAACTCACTTATTTGTTTGCAAAATGCCCAAAATCTGTCTTTGCAATTAAAAGGAAAGATGCCTATGAAATGAGACCCCGCATCAGAGAGCAACACCTAAATGCAAAGCAAGCAAGAATTTGGCTTTTGGCAGAGGCCGAGGGGTGATTATGGCAGGATCTGCAGCAGAGCTGTGCTCCAAGCTTTTTTTTTCTTTTTTTTTTTCAGAAGCATTGCTTCATGACGAAACAGCAATGAGACGGTATATGCCATGCCAGCAGAAGGCCATAGCAAAAGGGACAGTGCACTAGTACGGACAAAAATAAATAAATAAATAAATAAATAAATAAATAAAAACAGGGGAAGGTGGAAGCATGTTACACAAGTCAGATTCACTTACCAAATTCATCGCCTGAATCAAAAAAGAGAGAAACCATTAGTAAGAAGCAGTTCTACATGATGCTTTGAGACTGAATTTCCTTGAGCACATAACTTTTAAAGAAGCGTTTAAATCCAATATAATAACCTGCCTTTCATACTATGGAAATGATGTGCAATAGTTAAAGACATAAAAATTACATGGATATGTGCACAGGGAAAAGCTTTGCTCTTATTTAAACCAGTTTCAGTAAAGTGTTGTTCTATTCTATTCTATTTTATTCTATTGGTAAGCAGTCAGTTGTTTACTAAACTTAAAATTTTGCCTCATCTGTGTACTGTTGGCAGTGAAATGAGGCTTTGTAGCTCATCACATTTAAACTTGCAGAAAATCAGACCTTTAAACCTTAATACCACAAAGGTTTTGTGCACTAACTGATATGCAATTTTACTTTTTTCTTATCTTAGAAAGTACCTTTGAAAACTTAAAAGTACTCACTGCAGTGATACCATACTAAAGTTTTTTTTCCAGAATTACATCAAAAAGTACAGTTTAAGCGTGTACTCCACTAGTTTAGTTTTTTTAACTTCATGATTTTTTTGAACAGGTTTTCATGTGTAAACAATGAGTACATGTATTTTTAAATGGCTTGAGTTCAAAACAAACTACTTGATAAACTGTATCAAGTTTATTTTATTTTTAATGTTTGTATTTGTTGTTTAAATGAAATAAAAAAGAACTTAATAATTTATAAGCTGTTCATAACATCCAGTTTCTTGTTTATTTGTCAGCTTATAAAAGCGACAAAACAAGTTCAAACAGTATTAACAAGAACCCTGTCAATAAAATTAGGTGTAACTGAATATATTTATTCATGTTTTTTTTCAAGGAGTTGTATACTTTATAAATAGGGTAAACCTGATTTGTGGGAGGCCTGATGTGGGGATGATGCATCCATTTCCTAATAATTTCAAAGACCAGCCTGCTCTGACAAATAACCAACATCATTTAATAAAACCCAAAGCCTGTAATGGATGTTGCTGCCCCCTAGAGGATTAGTTTGCATTCAGGCATTAATTTGAGTTCAAGTTTGCTCCACAGAATAGATTTAGCAGTTTCTGCATAAATTATTTCTTTGTAAAAATGCAAAAACATAGATTTCTAAAGAATGAAGAGTCCAGAGGAACTTGAAGGAACATTAAAAAGGGTCATGTTTATTACACAGAAAGATTAATTTGYTTACCAAGTTTATAAAAGCCACATAAGAAATGATATAGAAGGTAAAGATATTTAAGTAAGATGAGTTATGAAAGGGTCAGAGGAGTACAGAAGGCTGCAGAAGCATGGCAGCAAAGGAGACAGATACAGAGCTGGAGCAACATGCAGCTCATTGGCTTCTCTTTGGGTCTGTGATAGCAGGACGTGTACATTCATTTAAAGCAGAAACTAATYGATTTCAATTTGTAGTAGAGGCAAGAGTCGTTTTTAATGAYGCTCAGATTTAGGATACAAAACACTGTRTTGGTYTATTGCATGCAAAGAAGGAAGATGGGACTTTTTGTCGCCGATCTCATTACTTTTTATGGCCTTTTTCCATCAAACATGCATCCACTCATGCAGCAGGACCACGCCTTAACATCAAAGACAAGACCGATAATCAGATCGTACATCAACTGGCAAAGAGATCATGAATTAGCTGGTTAGTGCAAAAGCCAAGCGTGTGCCAGCCCCGCAGCGGTGAAGCGCATACCTTTAGCTTTGACTGGATCTCGCGAGATTTTCTCCGGGCGAGAACCTGCAAGTGGCTAGAAACCTGCACAGAAGAATAGCCGAGAGGAGGGAAGAGGAAAGGAGACAAGGTCGAGAACAGGAGAAAGGAAGAAAGAAAGAAGCCGTAACCAAAGAGGAAAGAGACGCCCCGTCAGTGTTGCCGGGAGGCAGGCCGGCAGCACCTACCTTTATACCCGCCTGGTATTCACGCACTTTCTTCCGTGCTAACACCTGTATGTGACTAGACACCTAAAGGGGTGTGAAACAGTTTTTGAGCATAAAAATAGCATACGCCCATGCATGCACGCATACACAATTCTGCAGGTGCATATATGTAAAGAGTTAAAGAGTTCTTTAGGAGGACAACAAATAAGAAATATCATATCTGCAGCAAAACCACTAAAATATAGGAATTAAAGCTTGGTGATACATCAGAGCTGTGCATCTCACTTTAATGAACTGAGTAGTCAACTATCTGACTTCATTGTCATTGTCTGCTCATTAAAACATAAATTAGTCACCTAATTAAATTCTCTTAAAGGGATCCATGATTAGTTGTAACATTAGACTTTATTTGATAAACATATATTTTAACTGTAAAATAAAGAC